TTTAGCTCAAGTATTAGTTCACCAAGCATATTTTCCCTGACCTCCCAGACGAGGTCAGGTCCCCTGTCACATTCTCTCACTATACCATGTAATTCTTTTATACTTATAATATATACTACTGGAGTTGCTTATGTAGTAAGTCTATAAGATCTTTAAAACAAGATTTCATATCTTTTTTTTAAATTTCATCTCTTATTTTCTATTCTATCTCTTAGAATGAAGCACAGAGATTTACAGAAGGAATGAATGAATAATTATAGAATAATTGTTAGAATAGTTTTCTGGCTCAAATATTCCAATAAAATAGAACACTATTACAGACTCACTGTTCTTTTAATGGTACCACCATGTGGTTATTTCTCCCTTTTTTTTTCCTGGTATTAAAAATACAATTATCTTTTCCACTAAAGTAAATTCAAATAATGCAGAAAGTTTCCCCGATATGAAATATTACTATTTAACAAACCACTAAGATAATTTACTTTCTTTTGCCTAGCAATGTCCATCTTAGATATGATTTACTTTTGCTTAATACATTATTCTTTTCATGTGCAGTAGTAAAAAAAAAAAAAGCTAGCAAGGAACAAAAGTCAACAAATGACTTTAAAAATCTGTTTAAGCACTTTTGAAAACTTTAAAAACATTTTCATATTACAACAGAAAAATTAAATATTATATAGATGAAAGTAAAATAATCCAAATTGGGAGAAATAATCCAAATAGGCACTGAATCAAGAATAGTACTTCTTGCTTAAAATTAATCTTTCTTTCAGTATTTATTTTCTTCTCTTCAGAAATCAGCAGAGAATAACTGAAAATGTTTTGGTAGCTTTCAAAATATCATATAAAAATATTTTTTGAAATGACATCCATTATTTTTGTCTACCTACCTAGCCAGCTCTCTATCTCACTACCTCATTCACTTCTTGAGTAAACTCCTTACCTTCCAACAAATCTATGGTCCTCACAAGGTAGCCAATGTAGTATCCTTCTTTCCCCTTTTTCCCCAGCTATGGGGTGTGTTTACTATCAGACAGGCAAAACTCTTATCACACTCTCTTCAACACAGTGATTAATTCAAGCAACAGGCAAATAACCTCAGCCAGGCCTGAGTTCCCAAAATGTTTTGGGAAACAGAAGTGGGAGCAGAGGGTTCCTTTGGTTAAAGTAACTTAATCCCAGAATTGTCAGCAGCCCAAGAGAATGAAGCCAAAAAAGGAGTGATGGAAAGTGACCAATTCTAGATATTTTACTCTCTGAATTCAGAAAATCCTGAAACTAGCTCTAGTCCTTGCTTTTCCATGGTTTAGTCATCTAATAAATTCCTTCACGCCCTTCTTATTTTGTTTAAACTAGCCTGGGTAAAGATTTGTCAATTATAATCAAGTCCTAATATTTCCCATATCCATTTAGGTATCACAAAAAATAAATGTTATTAAGTTATACACACACACACACACACACTTTTATAACTGCTATGCTCTTACAAGTCCACATAACGTCATACTCTAAACTCTTCCTACCTGCCTACAATTTTTTTTCAGCTTTACTAGGGTAAAACTGACAAATAGAAATTGTATATATTTAAAGCATACAACAGTAATCATAATTAAGCCAGTTAATATATCCATCACTTCACATAGCTCCTATGACTTTACATACAGACTTTTAAAGAAGCATAATATACATAAAAATTTATATGTATATATCATATATATATATCAAAAAACCATAAAGTTCATATATATGAAATCTACACGTCTTCGAGATTTAAAAATGCTAAGTGTACAGAAACATTTCAACCCTGTCTCTTACTGCCAATGCCCCAGAATTAACAACTTCAGTATTTTTAATAGTTACTAACAATAAGCTTTGCAAGTATTTCTTGATTTACCAATTTTAACTATTATCTCTTAACTTCTTGCTATGATAAAAAAGAATTTAACTCCTCACACAACCAATTTCATCCTCCCAACAGTTACTCATTATTATTCCTCTACTATTTATCTTCGTAACTTTACTTATACTTTTATTTATGGTTTCCTGTACTACTGAAACTCCATTTTGTAAAATACAAAATAAAGGAAGGCTATTAGTACCCCCGTCCTTCACTTTCAACTCACAGTTTCCACTAAATAATCTTACACTGAAAGGCTAATAATTTTCCTCTGCTCTGTAACTATAACTGTTTGTGCTTTTATAAGCTTAAAGTCAATAAGCATCGTGTGTGTGTGTGTGTGTGTGTGTGTGTGTGTGTGTGTGTACATGTGCACTAAGTCACGTCAGTCATATCTGACTCTTGCGACCCTAAGGATCATTACCTGCCAGGCTCCTCTTTCCATGGGATTCTCCAGGCAAGAACACTGGAGTGGGTTGCCATGCCATTCTCCAGGGGATCTTCCCGACCCAGGGATTGAACCCACATCTGTTACATCTCCTGCATTGGCAGGTGGGTTCCTTCCCACTTGGGCCACCTGGGAAGTACCCTAAGCATTATGTATATGAAGAATATAAAATAATATTTATATAACATTAAATAACATTCAGTGCATACCTAAGTGAGTGAGTTATCACTCTATATCCTTTTCCTACTCAGATTATTTTTAATTTTCCTAGAGTATCTAATTGCTTTTTTATTTCCTTTGCCTTGTCTACTTATATAATTACCTTAAATGGTTCCAAAGTCTCAAGGTTAGTTTCAAATCTCCTACTGAATACTTCGCTCTTGAAGTGGTGTATCTGTAAGACCTACTATTCGGCAGTGACCCTGGAACTTCCCTCCTCTCTATCTTAAGTAAAAAATACTATTTTCTAGATCCATTGTCATATGATCTTTTTATATCATAACCCATTTTTCTGGAGCACATTCTCTAATAACTTCTTAAGAAAGAAAATGTGGACAAATCAATCTCCTAGGTCCTTACATGCCTGGAAATACTGTTTCTACTCTCATACTTCACTGACAGTTTGGATGAGTATAAAATTCTACACTGAAAATAAATCCTCATTAAAACTGTAGAGACACTGGTTCATTATTTTCTACCACCCCCTGTTGGTTGTATGAAAATTGATACCAATCTGATATTTGTTTCTTTTTAGGTGACCTAGTTTTTTCTCGCTAGAAGGTATTCAAATCTGTTTTTTCATTCTTGATATTTTCAAGTTGCAAAATGATGTATTTATGAGAGTATTTTTTCTAGTCAATGTGCTAAGCACTTCTTGGGCTCTTTCAGTCTGGAAGTTTACAACTTATTTCTGGGAAATTATTTTATTGCATCTTTGAAAATTTCCCCCAACATGTATTCTGTAAATTCTTTTTCTGGAACTCCAACTAGTTAAATAATGAACCTCCTACATGAGGTCACTTCATCAGTTTTTTCTGACATATTCCTTCACTTTTGGTTTTGTTCTACATTCTGGATTATTCAACTCTCCAACTCCCTAGAGAATTCTAAATTTTAACCATCATATTTTATTTCCACAAACTCATTTTTGGTATCTCATTATTCCTTTCACACAGCATGGTATGTTGATGTTTTAATGTCCTACAAATCTCAACTCTCTCTGAAAAGGCGAATTACAGATTTTATATTTCCCTTCTAATTTTTTTGTTTTCAACATTAACAGTATTTCTCCCACAATTCTTTTAGTTTGTTTTCATCGTGTTTTTTTCCATGATGAAGTCATGCCCCAAATGTCTGATAATTTTTGAATATCCATTAATATCTAAGAATTAATTGGGAACCCTATGAGCATGTTTAGAGTTTGGTGATTGATAAGTTTTTTTGGGGGGGGTAATTAAGTGATGAGGTAGCTGTCTCAAAGAAAAACCTTTAATTGCCAGAATACAAAGGTCACAGCTCCAAAGTCATTTACTTTCTTTAGAGAAAAAAAGAAAATATCAATGCTGTTTCCCCACCTGACAGGCCCTAAGGTCTGGTGAGTAACCTGAATGGAAAAACTGCAATTAATTCCTTTATCTGTATTCTCCCAAAGTATCTCATTCCCCACTCTATTTCATGCCTTGCATGTTCAAATTCTGTACCTCCCTAGGATTCCAAGGGGGATGCATGACAGACAGTCTTCTTCCTATCTTATGAGGCTAGGATAATTTTGTTTTATAAGCTACCCACAGTTTCAAAAAATGTTTTACAAATAATGAATTATACACATACATAAAAATAAATATACAAAACAACAAAGAGTTGCACAAAATAATACTTTTCCTATGAGACATACTCTGATATTTTCTATTGTATTTTGTAATGCTGATAAATGAATTCACAACCCACTAATGTGGTATGAGTCTAATTTAAGGAGCCAAAAATAATTTAAAAAATTAAGTTGTGACTTCCTCTGCCATGTTTCAAAAGCCACTCCTCTATTTTCTTTCCCAAAGAAAACTGCTGAAATATTTTCATTCACTGATGACTTTTCTCTATTTTCTTTTCACTGTACTTCCCTCTTCTACTTCCTTACTACTTTAGTAGAATCTACGTGGACAGGAGGCCTGGCGTGCTGCGATTCATGGGGTCACAAAGAGTCAGACACGACTGAGCGACTGAACTGAACTGAGGAGGGCAAAAGGATAAATACAAATGCTCAATTTGTGATCTTTAACTGAAAGTCCTTTACAAGTGTTTTTAAAAACCAAAGTTTCCTAACCTCTTTCTGACCTGATTTAAGTTCCCTCTGCTAACTATGATGGCCTCAATTGCTACTGACTTACAATTAAAGTTTGCCAAGAGACTCTGGGGAATTAAAAAGGAAAGTGCTAATAGTAAACCTAAAAATCTTTATAACTATTCCATTTAACTCTAAAGCTAAAAGTAAAATTATGGCTAAATGTTCAAAATTAAACCTAAACCCTTACATGAAGAAATGGAAATTTCTTTTTGAGGGAAGACTTTAAGAAAGGTTCTGTCTGCAGAAAAAAATAATCAAAAATCAATTCTTAAATAGATCAAAAAAAAACTTTTTGAGAAGTAAAGGGTACTTACAAAGCAAGGCTACTCAAAACATATTGTACGTGCTCACATTCATCTGGGAATGATGCACTGGCTGATGTAAAACAGCAAAGTGCCGTCTGAAGAACCTGAAGCTGTGGCAAAGGGACCTGCCATCTTCCAGCATAATCTTCAACCACCTGATAAGGAAGCAATCCAAAAAGTACATTATTAGAGAAAATGTTAAATTTGGATAAAACTTACCAGATAAAACATTAGTTCAGCATGAACACAAATGACTTAGGAGGGGAAAAAAGTTCTTTATTGCTTGTTTTGTTGTTTAGTTGCTAAGTTATGTCCACTCTTTTGTGACCCCATAGACTGTAACCCACCAGGCTCCTATGTCCATGGGATTTCCCAAGCAAAAATATTGGAGTGGGTTGCCATTTCCCTCTCCAGGGTATCTTCAAACCCACATCTCCTGCATTTACAGGTGGATTCTTTACTGCTGAGTCACCAGTGAAGGTCCTCTTTATTGTTTATTTCATTGTATACATCTGAAAATAAAATGAACTATTATCTGAAAATGTGGGAAAAAATTATAGTATATAAGAGACCATATGGTTCAACTGCCAAATCTTTACCAAATGTTTTAATAAATGCTTTCACATCCTGTATCTAGATTTCCCCCCAAATACCAATTATTAAATATTAAAATAGATAGTCAGCAGAAGATAGTAATAAATAAAATTAGAAATAGGAATCCATTATTATCATTATAATTTATATAAGACTGAACTAAACATTCTGGCAACAAATGAGTATTAAAGATACAGTGGTATGATTCTCTTTCATAAACTGTACCATATTATGGGGAAAAGATTACAAAATAAAATCAGTCTTGGCTCTGTCACTTAACTAGTTTTATGAATTTGGGTATGTCATCTACCTTCATAATGCATTAGTTTCCTCACCATAACATGAAGATAACAATGCTTATCTTGCAGATTTACTCTGAGGCTAAACTGGGAACAATTTATGAGACAACAAATTTAGAACTATCAATTGCTATAAAATGTTAATTATGATCTCTCATATGCAAGACTACTCTATTCAAACTATTCTAGAAATTCATCTTATAAAACCGGTTGGCAAACTATGGCATGTAGGCCAAAGTCAGCCTACCACCATCTTTGTATGACCTACAATCTAAGAATGGGCATTACATTTTCAAATGGTTGAAAAAAATTTGTGGTACATGAAAATTACATGAAATTCAAATTTCAATATCCATAAAGTTTTACTGCAACATAACCAGGTTTATCCATTTACATATTATATAATCTATGGCTGCTTTCCTGCTATAACAGGTTGAGTCGTTACGATGAAATCATATGGCTAACAAAAGTCTAAATGTTTAATATCTGCCCCTTTACAGAAAAAGCTTGCCAACTCCTGATTTAAAGCTGGTAAAACTAGAGAAGAGTAGAATAGCCAAGAACATTTAGAGCTCAAGGACTTTGCATACTAATCACTTCCTGTTAGAGGTAATTTTCCATGGGTCCTTGTATTTCCAGTTTTTTTTTCCATTTATTTTCATTAGTTGGGTTTTAAGAGAGACCCAGACTGCCTTCACCCTTTCAGAGATGTTTACAGGAGACAGCCCTGAGACACAGAGACGACGTCTCTCTTCAAAGCAGTGGCTCTCCGGAGCAACGGTCAGGCAGACATGCTTGCCCACCGTGTGTCCCACTCTTCTGTGACCCTGTGGACTGTAGCCCACGAGGCTCCTCTATCCATGGGGTTTAAGATTAGGAGTCCCTAAGCTTGGGGTTCCAAAGCTGTGATATAAACTCACTATGATTCAGGATTCACTTGGACCATTCACAAAACCTTTGTGATCCTTGAGAAGCAAAGGAAACCCCCATGAACTGGAGGCCATGCTGTTTGTTGTGCTATAAAGTGAGAGTCCAGGAGTGTCCCGTCCTCGGGCAGCATCTGTGAACCTGTGCTGGTCTACCGTAGATAAAAGCCTTGACTTTTCACAGTTCTTTGACGGTTCCAAATTGTAACGCCAGGTGCCAGTGTGTCTCCAATGTTTCTAGGAACAAGTATGGATAAAGAAGCAAGCTGGAGAGCATCAGCTCTATGAACATGCATCCCCCTTCTAGTATCTAGTACTTCTTAACCTGGGAATTAAAAACTACTACTAACTATGATGGCCCCAAGTAGGACAGATTTTCCCAAACCACCACAGGCAAAAAAAAGAAGAATGGTGGTTTCCTGGATTTGAATTTTCTCTTCACTAAAGTGTTTGACCAACTTTATTGCCTCTTTTTGGCCTACATAAAACCTCTCTGGTGCCACATTAAAAATAGGTACCTAACAAACTCTCATTTTTCTATCTTTAGTTTGCCCTAATACATTTCTACTTAGAACCTTATTCACTTCCTATTTATGGACTGGGTCTATCTCCTTAGAAGAGAACCTTTCTACTTTATCAGGTTCCATAATCATTGTAGCTTTCCTTATTCACCAAGATTCACCTATTAATACCCCACCTGATCCATCTGAAGACAAAATAGTAAAAGTACTTGTGTGCAGTACCTCCAATAGGCTCCCATAATAGGCGTGAAGGAAAATAAATAAAACTAGTTGAAACTCACAAGCAGTTGGCCCTCAGTATCTGCCGAAGATTAGTTATGGATCCCCCAGTTCAGTTCATGGGAGAAGGCAATGGCACCCCACTCCAGTACTCTTGCCTGGAGAATGGACGGAGGAGCCTGGTAGGATATAGTCCATGGGATCGCTAGGGTTGGACACGACTGAGCGACTTCACTTTCACTTTTTATTTTCATGTGCTGGAGAAGGAAATGGCAACCCACTCCAGTGTTCTTGCCTGGAGAATCCCAGGGATGGGGGAGCCTGGTGGACTGCTGTCTATGGAGTCGCACAGAGTCGGACACAACTGAAAAGATTTGGCAGCAGTGGTAGCAGCAGCAGTTCAGTTCAGTTCAGTCGCTCAGTCGCGTCCGACTCTTTGCAACCCCATGGACTGCAGCGCGCAAGGCTTCCCTTTCCATCATCAACTCATGCTCACCGTGTCAGTGATGCCTTCTAACTATCTCATCCTCTGTCGGCCCCTTCTCCTCCTGACTTCAATCTTTCCCAGCATTAGACCTTTTCCAGTGAGTCAGTTCTTCGCATCAGGTGGCCAAAGTATTGGAGTTTCAGCTTCAACATCAGTCCTTCCAATGAACATTTAGGACTGATTTCCTTTAGGATGGACTGGTTTGAGCTCTTGCAGTCCAAGGGACTCTCAGAGTCTTCTTGAACACCACAATTCAAAAGCATCAATTCTTCGGCACTTAGCTTTCTTTATAGTCCAACTCTCACATCCATATAGATTACTAGAAAAACCATAGCTTTGACTAGATGGACCTTTGTTGGCAAAATAATGGCTCTGCTGTTTCATATGCTATCTAGGTTGGTCATAACTTTTCTTCCAAGGAGCAAGTGTCTTTTAATTTCATGGCTGCACTCACCATCTGCACTGATTTTGGAGCCCAAAGATATAAAGTCTCTCAATGTTTCCATTGTTTCCCCATCTATTTGCCATGTAATGATGGGAACAGATGCCATGATATTAGTTTTCTGAATGTTGAGTCTTAAGCCAACTTTTTCACTCTCCTCTTTCACTTTCATGATTCCAGCTTGTGCTTCATCCAGTCCAGCGTTTCTCATGATTTACTCTGCATATAAGTTAAATAAGCAGGGTGACAATATACAGCCTTGACGTGCTCCTTTCCCAATTTGGAACCGGTCGGTTGTTCCACGTCCAGTTCTAACTGTTGTTTCTTAACCTGCATACAGATTTCTCAGGAGGCAGGCAAGGTGGTCTGGTATTCCCATCTCTTTCAGAATTTTCCACAGTTTGTTCTAATTCACACCGTCAAATGCTTTGGTGTAGACAATAAAGCAGAAGTAGATGTTTTTCTGGAACTCTCTTGCTTTTTCAATGATCCAGCAAATGTTGGTAATTTGATCTCTGCTTCCTCTGCCTTTTCTAAATCCAATTTGAACACGTGGAAGTTCATGGTTCACATACTGTTGAAGCCTGACTTGGAGAATTTTGAGCATTACTTTACTAGCATGTGAGATGAGTGCAATTGTGTGGTAGTTTGAACATCCTTTGGCATTGCCTTTTTTTGAATTGGAATAAATCTCTTTTCCAGTCCTGTGGCCACTGCTGAGTTTTCCAAATTTTCTGGCATATTAAGTGCAGCACCTTCACAGCATCATCTTTCAGGATTTGAAATAGTTCAACTGGAATTCCATCATCTCCACTAGCTTTGTTTGTAGTGATGCTTCCTAAGTTCCACTTGATTTTGCATTCCAGGATGTCTGGCTCTAGGTGAGTGATCACACCATTGTGATTATCTGGGTCATGAAGATCGTTTTTGTATAGTTTTTCTGTGTATTCTTGCCACCTCTTCTTAATATCTTCTGCTTCTGTTAGGTCCCTACCATTTCTGTCCTTTATTGAGCCCATCTTTGCAGAAAATGTTCCCTTGCTATCTCTAATTTTCTTGAAGAGATCTCTAGTCTTTCCCACTCTATTGTTTTCCTCTATTTCTTTTCATTGATGCAGAGGAAGGCTTCCTATCTCTCCTTGCTCTTCTTTGGAACTCTGCATTAAAATGGGTTTATCTTTCCTTTTCTTCTTTGCCTTTTGCAGCTTTTTTTCCCTGAGCTATTTGTAAGGCCACCTTAGACAACCATTTTGCCTTTTTGCATTTCTTTTTCTTGGGGATGGAGGTCCATAACGAACCTCCGTCCATAGTTCTTCAAGCACTCTATCATATCTAGTCCCCTGAATAGATCTTTCACTTCCACTGTATAATCGGAAGGGATTTGATTTAGGTCATACCTGAATGGTCTAGTGGTTTCCTCTACTTTCTTCAATTTAAGTTTGAATTTGGCAGTAAGTAGTTCATGATCTGAGCCACAGTCAGCTCCTGGTCTTGTTTTTGCTGACTGTATAGAGCTTCTCCATCACTGGCTGCAAAGAATATAATCAATCTGATTTTGGAATTGACCATCTGGTGATGTCCATGTGTAGCGTCTTCTCTTGTGTTGTTGGAAGAGGGTGCCTGCTATGACCAGTGTGTTCTCTTGGCAAAACTCTGTTAGCCTTTGA